CAAGAAAAAAAATTGGTTTCCGAGAATTTTTTTCCGTTCTGAGAATTCTTTTTCCGAGAATTTTTTTTTTTTTTTTTTTACCTTGTTTAATTGTTAAATGTCTGCATTTTGATAATTTCGCGATTCTTTTTCCGAAACTGTCCCTCTACACTTTCACTGCGTAGGTCTGCAAATTCCGTTCTTTTTTTTCAAAAAAAAAAAACGGCATTTTTTTTTCTGTTTGCGACCTACTCCTACTATGAGTTATAAAGACCCTTCTTTTCTGATTCCTTGCAGTCCGAGCACCGAAGGTTCACATTTGCTTTCTGCATCACCTTCGGTACTCAGTGGGATTGGACAGACTTTTTCCGAATTTTAAAGTTTTGTTTTTCTTCTTTTTGATTAGGAAACTATTCAAATTGGGCTCTGTCCGATCCTTCTCACTTGTCTACTTCCTACCTATTCCTCCCCCTCCAGTCCGGGTACTGGGCCAGTCCATCAGATTGGCCCTCGGGTGACTCTTCCGACTGCGGGCACAACAGTGCATGACACTGCTCACTCGATCACAGACCAAGGCAATGGACCGAAAGGTGGGAGAATCCCTCCTGGCCTATGAGGAACGCCTGGCGGCATTCATTCAAAAGGCCAACGATAGGGCCGCTGCCGCGGCCAAGGAACGTAATCGGCTCGAACAAGAGGAGGAGGCCAAGCGACAGAAGGAGGAACAGGACCGACTTCGTCAAGAAGAGGCAGACCTGCAGGCGGCAGCCGAACACCGGTCACGCCATCGGGAACGACTGTTCACGCGGGAGACCGTGATCGGCGATGAGGCCGCACATTGGGTGGAAGTGACATCTGCAGATGGGGCCCCGGAGACTGAGAAAGGGCTGTCAGCCCTTGCGCAGGTCTCCCACGACCTCGTGGCCACCTGCGCTCTGCAGCAGGAGGAAATTCTTCACCTGCAGCAGACAGTGGACCAGATGCTCGCACGGCTGCAGGCGTTGGAGAAACAGCCAGCTGCTGTAGCAGCCGCAGGGCCTTCCACCCTTGCCACCCGTGTGCAAGTTTTGGAGGATGATGTCAGCAACATCAAGCGTGTGCAGCAGGACTTCCGGACGTTGCAGCAAGCAACGAACTTGCAGTTGGAGACGTAGGTCCAGGCTGCTGCCATCGTGACGCCCGCCGCCGCATCCTCCCGGCGCCCACCCAAGTTGGATGACATTCCCGTCTTCTGCGATCAGTCCAAGACGGAACCGATCCCGTGGTGGCGCCAGTTTACTCTCAGGCTCGACATGTACCATGTCCCGAACAACGATCGACATCCGTGCTTGTACCACCGATCTGGTGGTGCGTGTCAAGCATGGCTGGACAACATCTTGACCAGCCACGGCGTAGCAGTGTCGGAACTGCACACCAAGCTCACTTGGCAGGAGTTGACCGACGCCTGGCACAAGCGATTCCAAGTGGAGCCGCCCGACCTGCAAGCGATGGACAAGCTCAACAAGCTCCATCAGAACACGCTGCTCAGTCAGGACTGGATTACCGAGTTCCAAGGACTCGCCTCCACACCTGACCTGCCGCTCGCATTCCGCGCCATCAAGCACTTGTTTATCATGCGCTCGTGTCCAGCTCTGCAAAACGCGCTGACGCAGATTGCAGAGACACTCGACACATCTGACAAGCTTTTCAGCACAGCGTCACGGATCATTCTCACGAATATCGAACCCCACAACGCCGGCCGATCTTTCGTGACGACGAACGGCACCCAGCCCAAGCCAAAGGTGGCTTGCATTACTTCTACCGAGGCTGCAACACCAAACGAGGGTGAAGTGTTGGCAGCTGCCCGGGATGGTGGCCGGCCGCGCAACAACCACGGCCGCGACAAGACGAAGACTCAGTCCACCTCTACACCGAGCACCGGATCAGCCGCCGACGAACCTTGGGCACAATACGGACTCTCGGCGAATTC